TTGCCCCCCCCACCATTTTTTTCCTCTACTCTCAAACTTGCTTCTGTCTCTACACATAAAATTTGTACTCATTTACTCAAACCTAGCATTTCCCCTTACCTTTTAAGTGTAAATCTCCCCACCCACATGCCTGCAAAACATTTAAGGCTTTCTTTTTTGCTGCTGTTTCCATGGCACAAGTATAAATCTCTATCAATTTGCACTGAAGTTGTTTTCATGTCTTCTTTATTCTTTTTGGCTCTTGGCATTTAGCACAATAGCTGGTATGGAGCAGGTACTTGGTAAACGCCTATTGAATGCTATTTAAGTATGCACAGTGACTAACACCCAAGTGTTGCCATTAAGTGCATAAGTGGTGCTGCAGACAGCTTCCCAAAGGCCTGTACAGTCTTTTTTTCTTTTGCATTTAAGATATGAAATACATTATTATGTAAAGATACCTAGGGAATCTGGAAGGGTCTTCCAGGGCTGAGAATGATAGGAGAGGTATCTCATTTTTCTCTCTACCTCTTGCAGATCTCAGCTCATTTTAAATTCATTTCTCAGTTTTGCTTTCCTTGTATAACAAATACAAAGGGAGAAATGAATCAGGAAAAGTGTCATTTGCCTAAGTGGCCGTGGGTCACATGAAGTGTTGAACACTCAGCTACTGAAGTACTGCTAGTGTCAAGGTTTTTGTAGGGCACTTGCAGCCCAGCTCTGGGCAGTGTTTCTCCCAGGGAATGTGTAACCCAGAGGAAGCTGGGAAAAGATTGCAAACAACACAAAACAATAAAACCTTTATCTCTTGAAGCAATCTTTGTCTCTTAAGGATTTGTCCCTTTGATATTGGTGAAGTAAGGACCAGCAGTGTTTTCCAGGTTCTTACTGGAAATTCAATGAATTAGTCAGGACAATTGGCAAATGTGACAGATCACTGTTTATTTTGGGGCAGGAATAAAAAGAAAAGGAAAAGAGAACAAAAGAAGCACCCATGGAGGAAAGAACTTTGAAGGAAAAAGATATTTCCTGCAAGTAGAAGGACAAGAAAGGCAGTGGGTACACAGTTGATTGTTGCTTTTTTTTGGTACCAGGGATCAAACTCATGACTTCATGCTTGCCAGACAGGCGCTTATGCCACTGAGCTAAATCCCTGGCCCACTGTTATTCGTTTGATAATCTTTTTTGATAGTTGGTCCAGGTGGTTCCACTTGATCTTGCACTAAAAGATTGGCATCAAGTGCTAGGCTTGGCTTCTTCTCATGTCAGAAGATTGGTACTAGGTACAGGGCTAGCTGGGTCTCATGTCAGGCTTGGGAGCTGCTGCCCTGTGTCCATAGTAATAAGTGTCTTCAAATGGCAGGTCAAGCCCTAGTATCCTACTTTACCCTGCATTGAATACCATGTCATCTTTGAGGTTTCTCTTGTGTCACAGCCTCTCTTCCAAGCTGTTTGCATCTCCAAGACAGTGAACTACCCTTTTCTGTGTTAACACTCAGCCCTATACATAAAAACAGTTGTTTTGGGGGCTATTGTTTTACGATAACTGGTGTATGATCTCCATGGCTAGGTAGCTTTTATTGTATGGAAACAGAAGCTAAGAGGGACTAAACGATGTAGGCATGCAAGAATATAGTGACAGAGTGTTAGAACTGATGCTTACTCTGCCTTTCCAATTTGGATTTTAAACTTTTCCTTTTTTCTTTCTTTCTTTCTTTCTTTCTCTTTCTTTCTTTTCTTTCTTTTCTTTCTTTCTTTCTTTCTTTCTTTCTTTCTTTCTTTCTTTTTCTTTTTTTTTTGACAAGGTCTTGTGCTGTAATTTGGGCTGGCCTTGAACTCACATCAATTCTCCTGCCTCATGAGGATTACAGGCACGCACCACCACACCTGGGAACTTTTCCTTCTCACAATGTTCCAGAATTCCTTCTACTACTATAGCCATCACAGTCTTTTTTTGAGGGAGGATATAGTCCTTCTGTTCCTTGTGTTTAAATTTTTTAAAATAATTTTTATTGTGTATATTGAAGCCATACATGTTGCCATGTATACAGTAAACAGATTACTAGAGTATAGCAAATCAATACCCAGCGTCTCAGTTATTGTTTGTGATAAGAACAGCTAAACTCTATTCATTTCGCACAAATCCCACAGGCAGCATGTTGGGTCAGTTGCTTCTCCACCTTTTAACACTTTGTAAAAGCTAAACTCTTTCCCCCACCTCCTCCACCCCTTTCTGGCAACTAGCTATTGAGTTTTGTTCTCTCCCCAGTTCTATGTCCCTTCCCCGCCGAACACTTTAAAGAAGCATTTTGGAATCTGAGATTGAGCGGGGATGAGTCACTGACCCAAGACTTGTAAGAAGTGGTAGTGACTTTAGTTTTAGCTAACCTCCAGACTTTAGCTGCAGTCCGAAAATAACTCTTTCTTCACTTTCACTCTATCCTCTTGCTGACTCTACTCAAGCGGCTCAGCAAGATTCCTGGGTTGGGATTTTTATGACCTTGATTCTAGTGTCAGGTGAAAACCTCCAAACTGGGTCTGGTGCTGCATTTGGAAGGCTGAGGCAGGAAGACTGCCTTGAGTTCAAGGCCAGCTTGAGTCACATAGTGTGCTTAAGAAGGCAGCCTGGATACATAGCAAGACTGTCTCAAAAAACAAGCAGCCCCGTTGACTACTAGCTTTAGTTTCTTTCAATGGGTAACATCAGTTTTGTCTATCCCCTTAAATACTTGAGCCAGACTGTTTGTTAGTACCCTTCTCCCTATAGTCTCTCAGATAAAGTTAGGCTCTGGACAACAAAGACTGGGAATAAGGCCAGTGTTTACTGTTACTGAGGATCCACCCAGCAGACCAACAAAGAATCAGGAATTTCTAATTCCTTCAGCAATTTGGAGCTCTGAGAACATCTATCCACTCAGGAAAGCTGGGAAAGGTGGCCTGCTCTTTGGGATACCATTTTCCTTATCCCAGTGTATTATAATTATGTAATCCACTTGCTTCCTACTATCCTATGAGGGCTTTTTTTTTTTTTTTTTTTTTGAGACCGGGTCTTGCTATGCAGATCAGGCTGGCCTTGAGCTTACTTTGTAGCCTAGGCTGGTCTCGAACTCGAAACAATCCTCCTGCCTCAGCCTCCCGAGTACTGGGATTACAGGCAGGAGCCACCACGCGCCCGCTACCCTATGAGTTCTTAAACTATATAATCTGTATCTTATTCTATTCATTGATATCTTCCTGGCCAAGCCATTCTGCACATAGAAAATGAAGCCTCTGGCTTCTATCATTGTCCTACTACTTTCTGCTCTTAGCAAAGCAAGCCAGAATGAATCTTAGTCAAGATTCTTACAACGGCCTGCAAGATTCCTTTTCTGTTCTGATCTTCCAATCTTATTTTCTAATTGTCCTGGCCTCTTCACTATTTCTAACATTTTCAGGAATGCTTCTGCCACATCTGCATGGTTCCTTCCTTCAATTCCCCCAAGTCTGGTTAAAATTGTATTATAAATGGGGTTCACCCTGATAGCTCGATTTATTGTTTCATTGTTTCTTCTTCTAGTGTTCCTTATAACCCTTAGCCTATTTTTTCCTAGAGCTCTCAACACCTATTTCACAATTCTGTCCCCTAGAATAAAAGCTCCAAGAGGTAGAGTATTTTTCTCTCTTCTCATTGACACTTCTTGAGCACTAAAATACCTTAGAAGGGCTAGGGATTTAGCTCAGTGACAGCGCCTACCTGGCAAGTGTAAGGTCCTAGGTTCGATTCCTGGTACCCTTTCATCCAAAAGTACTGCAGAATCTGCGAACTAAGTAGTGATTGGCAAATATATGTTGGGTGGACGAGAAAATGAATGTTGAGAATCTTGTTAGAGTACTATAAAGAAAAGGTGTTATGTGACGACTTTGAATCCCCAGGGACGCAGGGCATGGAGTTGCTTGGCAAAGGGCAGGTGTTTAATATTTGCTGAAGGAATGGAGTGCTCAGATCTTGAAATACTGGAAGTCTTTATCTGATCTCTTTGACAGAAAAATAACTTTCCAAGGCCAAGTCACTCAGGTCTCTCTTATTCCTCTCATCCAATTAACCTAGCGTTTATCTAAAGAATGCCTCCGTATTCAAATATGAAACATTTATGGAGTTTAAGTGTCCTCAGTGCTGTACAGAGAGTAGGTTAATGAAGCAACAGCAAATAATGTATCGCAATGTAATTAAGCGTGCAATTACAGGGAAGATTATCAGTGCTAACAGTTCAGAGACTCAGTGAAGACTGACGCAGAAGTAAATTCCAAAGTCCAGCAGGCGTCGGAAATACCTTTCTTAATGCTCCCTCCACCTGTTGATAGCAGGACTATAACTCAGACAGTGACCCTGAGAGTCTGAAGGCCTTTCAGAGTTCCAAGTCCTTTGTTTAGCAGAGAGAAAATATGACTCCGCAAAAGAAAGGCCGCCGCAGAAGCGGGCCTAGAACCCGCAGCTCGTGAGGTTTTTAAGAGCAAGTGTCCTCAGGGAAGATCCGCTTCTGCCTTCGCAGGGCCCTGTACCTCCTCGGTGTGTGAGGTCGGAAAGGGGCCAGATTTCTTGGTGAAGCTACGGTGCCTGCCACTACGCTGAGGTGGCACAGGTTGGAAGGCAGGGAGAGAGGTCACGAGGCCACATTCCATATGGTGCACGGGATCCCTGGAAACGGTCCGGGGCCGCAGGTCCTAGCAATCATCGACTGCGGGGCAGCTTTTGCCACCTGCATTCCCCAGACGTCACTCTGAGGGACAGGGACCAAAATCGCACGGAACTGTGCGCGGCAATTGTTAACACCAGTTACGCGGCGGTAGAGCCACTGAAGTCCCAGGGCACTATTTGCCTTGGCGGAGGAATCCAGTGTAAGTCGCGAGATCGCGGAGGGCCCTGACGCTACCGCCGCTGCCGCCGCCGTCGCCGACGCCAGTACGGTGGCGCAGAGACGTCGCGGGAGGCGAGGGAGGCGGGGGCGTGGGGGGGCGTGGGTCGGTAAGTAGTTCCGGGTGCGCGGCCCCGGATGTTGGCTGCTCCCGCTGCCGCCGCCGCTCTCGGCGCTGCTTCGGGCCCTGGCGGCTCACAACAGGCGCTATTGGGACCCTTCTTAGGGGGCGGAGTCGCACGCAGCGGCCGGGGGCTCGGCCGGGCCGTCCCGGCCTGCGCAGCCTGAGGTGAGTGCCAGGCGCCCGCGCCGCCGGGCCGGGGCGACGGGCGAGGAGGCGGGGCTGGGGCATCTCCCGGGACCGAGGCAGGGGTTGCCCTCCGCGAGACGCTTTCTGCTTTCTCAGCCGCTGCGCGCTGCGTGGTGAGCGGCGGGCGGGGCGGGGGCTCTGGCCGGGCCTGGCGGGGCGCGAGGCTTGGGTGCCTCCCTCCCCCACGGCGCTTCTCAGCTGCTGCTGCCCCTCAGCTGGGGAGCGGCGGCTCCGCGCCTCCGGCCCCTCCCCCAGATGGGGCCCGGGGGAACCGGACGTAGATCGCTGAGCTCGGAGTCCGAGGGCAGCGGGCGTCTCCTCTCCGCGACTCGCGCCCTCGTCTGGGCCAGCCCCCGGGCCCCGGCGCGATGCGAGTCCTTCTCTTCAAGCCTCTGGGCGCTTTTCGGTCCGGAAGGCGGCTAGTACCTTGTGCCTTCGGGGTGCCCTTCGGCGGAAGAGGCCCTCGCGAGGGGCCTGCGTTCCCGCCCATTCTTTCGCTGTGTCCTTTGCTGGCATTGGGGCAAAGGCAGCCGTTCCTTGCGGATGTGTTGGTGTCCTGTGTGTGTTGCATCCTGCCCACGTGGTAGGGTGTCCCGTCCCCCCCATCCTCTCCATTTTTGCAGCTGGTGAAGAGGGAGGTTAACGGGATGGTTTTTCCTTTGGTGATTTCCTACGGGTGATGTGGAAAGTGCTAAGGTCAGTTTGCTTTGCAGAGCCCTACAGTTGGTTAGATAGAAGAAACCAAGAGTTTTGTACTCTCTGAAATTGAAATCAGTAAGGGACATACCAGAGCTTAGTTTCATTGACTTTTTTTCTCATCTCCCATCAGCTCTTCTTTCTCTTCTCTCGATCCTAAAATGAGAATAAGCTCCTGTTACTGGTGCTTTGATGCGTATAGTTTTCATATTTCTGTTTTATTTTTTGTGTGTATGATTGGCAGAGGTTTTCCATTTTGGTTGTTGCACTAGTTTATGGCGTTCCTAGATGTATTTATTCCTGAATGAGTAGAGTTGGGGATTGTATCATGTATTTTCTTTTTCCTAACAATTATTTTATTTTTCCTTCTACTGTATTTTGTTCCCTCGTGAAGAAGCATACATGTCATATAGGTGTGTTATATATAGTTTTTTCTTGCAAGATAGCAGTAGTTTCACTTAGTTTCCTTTTTTGTGGAAGTCCTTTTATTTCACTTTTCTTTCTGTTGACTATGTTGGACTCTAGACACCGGTTTAGAAACATGCGGTTTGTATACTTTTTTCCCTCCTATAATGTCCTTTCCAGGTTAAGTTTCCATCGTCCTGTGTTTAGCTTTTTTGAGACCACAGATTGCTCTCTTTACAGGGAAGAGACTACTGTAACAGTGAGAGAAATCTTTCATTCCTTCTAGACCTTAGCACATACTTACAGAAAAGCAGTACATCTCTTAGAGTTTTGTTTCTTCCCTAACTGGGTGGGGTATATAAATGTGGTTGACTTTTTTAGTTTCTTAAGTAAATCTGAGAAGTTGTCTTTTTCTGGTCTTGTGTTGGAGTTACCGAGAGAATCTTGTTCTTGGCTTTGTGCTGCTGAAGATCCTGGAGAGTTTCTCATTCCATTATGAGATTTTTTTGGATGAAGCCAGAACATAATTATTTTGGCCTTTTTAGTTAGTTAGTTTGGGTGAAATAAAAAATTTTACTGTTTCGAAGTCACTCAGTTCCTAAATAGCTAGCATTCTGTTGTTTTTCATATTATGTAGTCTTTTTGAGAATGAATTAAAATCATGTGTGTGTGTGTTATTGGAAATTGAACTCAGGCCTTCATATTGAATTGTATCTCAGCCCTTCTAGAAAATTTTTTTATTTCAAGACTAAGTTTTGCGAAGTTGCCCAGGCTGGGGTTGAATTTGGAGTCACCCTACCCAGCTTCCAGAGTGCTGAGATTAGAAGAGTGCACCATTATACTAGCCTTGAGTTATATTTCTAATAATTGTTTTATTTCTTTTATTGGGTATAATTGTTAGTATAGTCTTCCTTTTTCTTTCTACATAGAACAAAAACACTGAAATACAGATCGTGCCTGCTTTTACTGTGCTAAGTTATGGGTGGGGCAGTGGAAAGCAGTGATTGTCTTTTGATACAATGTGAAACATTTTTTAGTAAGTCAGTCAACATTTGTGTACTGTACTTCTGCAAAGGACCGAGCTGCCTATTTGTGAAGTAGTCTTATGAAAAAACTTGGAAACTAAAATAGGGGTCTCTTTGAAAAACTCAACAGTTGTTGAAAGAGGAACAGAAGTTTCTTTTGTTGGAGAAGCAGCGCTTGTACATCAAAATCACTGAACAACCAGGTATGGTGGTGCCTGCCTGTAATCCTAGCACTTGGGAGGCTAAGGCAAGGAAGATTGCTGTCAATTCAAGGCCAGCCTGGGCTACATAGTAAGTTTAAGGCTACCCTGAACTAGATAGCAAGACCCTGCCTCAAAAAACGAAAACAAACAGACAACCTACAAAATCACCAAATAACATCCAACTCCTGTTTGAGTTAAAAGTGCAACCAAGGTCAAAGATTTATGTGATATGTGAGAAAAATTCACAAAGTGGAAAGAGTTTTTCCAGGAAATCAAAGAGGCATGTGCAAAGGCAGAGAAATGGCAATAGACAAAAAATATGAAGGACCTTGACTGTCACAGATAATCTGTATTGGTGAATAGTAAGTGAAGTTGGGATTGATGAGGGTGTTCATGGAGGGTCTTTCAAGGATAGAGTTAGTTTGATCGGGTACTCTAATTCTCTTCAGAAAGTGGGGAGACCAAGGCAAAAGGGTCGTTGCAAGTTTGAGGCCAGCCTGGGCTAGGAAAGTGAGCTCAACGCCAGGCTGAACTGCCTAGTGAGACCCTGTCTCAAAAAGCCAAAAAACAAACAAACAACAAAAAGAAGGAGTAAGATGTCCTGACATATAAGGTACTGGTTGAATAGCTAACATTAAGTACTTATGTATGCCAGACATTTTTCTGAACTATGTGTATTACCTTACTGAAATGTAAGGGACTTCAGGCAAGTTACTAAACCTTATGCATTTAATCATTATCTAGAGAAAGGAAATGCAGATTTTGTAGTGACTGGACTATAACTGGTAGTAAAATGTGAGTAGATATGTATAAGATGGGAAGTATAATGGAGAAGGCTTTGAGCTTTGGAATTTTGAGTCACATAATAGACTAATAGGTAAAACATTCTGAGAAGAATCAGGAAGTACATTAGTGGCACAGAAACCAAAGATAGGAAGATTTTTCCACCACAAAGGTTGATAGTACCAAATTCAGTCTTCCAGTTCAGACACAGTGACTATAGTGAAGACTGTTGAACTAGACCAGGAGGAGGTGATTCATAACCATAGAATTTTGAAAGGAAAGATAATAGATGCCAGATTTGTTATTAGTAGGATTTGTAGAGATATAATGGTCTCATGATAATTTTCATTATTTTTTCCTAATGCCTACCTCAGCCTGGGTCTCAGTCTAGTTCACATGTCGGAGCTCACTAATTTTTTTTTTTTTAAAAAGTGTTTGAGACAATTCTAATTTAGCAGTTCTCTTCTTAATCTTTTCAGAACAGCTTTATGTATTGAGATAAAATTTACATTCCATAGAATCTATCTATTTAAAGTATACAGTTCAGTGGTTTTTAGTGTCTTCACAGAGGACAACCATAACCACAGCAGTTTTTAGAATAACATTTCAAAAAGAAATTTGGCTGGACGTGATGGCACATGCTTATAATCCCAGCTCTCTAGGAAGCTGAGGCAGGAGGATAACAAGTTCAAACCTATTCTGGGAAACGTAGCAACTTAATGAGGCCATGTCTCAAAAAAATGTACTGGCTCAGTGCAAGGCCCTCGGTTCTCGATTCCCAGTGTCACGAAAGGGGGACTCTTGTATCCATTAGCAGTCACCTCCCCAACTCCATACACACATAGTCCAAAGCAAGTCAGTAATGTATTTAACATGTCTATTGATTTGCTGGTTCTGTACATTTCCTATAAGGGGAGTCATGCTGTTTTCATTTCAGTCTTTTGTGTCTGACCTCTTTTGCTTAGTGTGTGTTTCAGTGGTTATCCATGTTGTATGTATCAGCAGTTCCTTTTCATTGTCAAATAATATTTTATTATGTTAATGTACTACATTTTTGACTGTTCGTCAGTTGATGCACATTTAAGTTTCTTATTCATCTTCATCAGTTCTTCACATTACAGTCTTTGTAGCCTTCCTGGCAGATTATAACCTCTGTTGTACATTTTAGTAGGCCTTAGGGGTATGAAAATGAGTAATACATGGGCCCTGAGCATTTATTTAGAGCTTGAATGGATTGGGTATGTTTTCTCATGCATTATCTCATTTGATCTCACAATAACCCTATAATGTAAAATGAGCAGTTTGAAATTTGGGTCGGGAGGCTTGCACATTTAAGTCTGTGGAGCAGTAATGGAGCAAATAATTTTTGGCTTGTGTTTGTGCTGTTTCTTCTAGTATGTGCTGCTTTTCTAATTTAGAGGATCCCCACGAAAAATTCTAGAGACTTAACAGGGATTACTTACTTGAGTAGTCACTGAATTTTAATGATTAATCTTTAGCATGTCAAGACTTCAGACTTTGTCTTTCAGAACTTTAATAGGAATTAAGATGGTGATGACAATAATGATAAATAATAATGGCTAACATTTTTTGAGGCGTTACTGTTGGCACAAAAATGATGTAAATACTTTTATTATATAATCCTCCCAACTCCTAAGAGGTAGATTTTATTATCATCAAAGTGTTACAGATGAGGAAATAGGCATAGAAGGATTAAGTCGCTTGTTCAGAGGTACATAGCTAGGAATAAAGAGCCAGGATTTGAACCCTTGCTGTCTGTTTTCAGAATTTAGTAGCTCTTAATCACTGCACTGTTCTGTTTACTAGTTATAAATTAAAAGAGAGTAATATTCCAAGTAAGAGCATG